CCTTGCACTTGCCAGGAAAGCGCTTATTCCACTGAGCCATCTCCCCGGCCCCAATGTGTAGTATAGTTTGAGAGGTAATTTAGCAAAAATCTAAAAGCTTACCCACAGAGGTATTAGAGTTTGAGTGTTAAGGTTGGATTTAACCATAACGAGATAAATACTTTTGTCATCAATTTTAATGGTTCTTTTGAAGGAACCCAAATTTTCATTTTCTTTTGAAATGTGAATTCTTCAAATTATATGCTAATCATTTTAAATATTTTATTTCATATCCAATATTATCAAACAGCAAAACCTCTTTCTGCTGAGGCCTTTAGAGGACACTTTTTTCCATCTCCCTATTATGACTCGAAAGAGTTATCATTTAGACAAGAAAAATGATCACTGACCTGCGGGCCTGTGTGTCCTCTTCTGCCACGAGCTGTCTTAAATGGGGGGAGGGAGGAAGAAGATATTCTTAGTGGAGGAAAAAAATCTTGCCTATACTTGACATAAATTAGTAATGGGAGCCTTAAGACACTGAGCTAAGCAATGGTTTCCATGGAGAAGACTCAATTACCTATCGGACAATGAGAGTAAAATGTTGCCAATTCTGAATTTCAAGCCTAGGGTAACAGATAATTGAAGTCATCGACATTTGAAATCTACAGAGACTTATAAGAACAGATTATGGTCAACAATTTGCCTTCTATGAAATTTTTATTAGAGCTGTATAGCAGCTGCATAATTGACTGATTTGAATTTTATTTCTTTTTATTTTCCTCAAGCACTACAAAGTAAGCCAGAAAACAGGGCTAGAATAGCCAAAAGGCAAGAGGCCAGAGGAAAAACTGGGAGAACTGATTCCCTGAACTTCATAATAGGTTATGTTCATAAATTTAAGATGCCCAACCTATTTTTTATTTTTAAAAATCCAAATAATAGGCTTATGTGTCAGAAACAAGTCATCCCAAACATTACAAACTTACTCAATTCAACATATGAATATAGTATCCAATCAAAATAATGGTGGCATACAGTCACTTAGGCTTTCTCCTCAAGGTTAGTGGTCTAGTTATATTCTATCTCAATAGTTGACAGATGAGTAAATTTAAGAGACAATGACATTTTGTAGTCCCTCTTTAAATCATTCAATAAGCTTATAGCAAAATTTACACTAAGAATTTACAGTATATAATAAGCATCAAAAAGCATTGTACTTGTGGAAATTTATTTGAGATGTTCTGGGGGGAACTTTAAATTCTCTTAATTATATCTTAAAAATCTATTGTTATAGGGCCAGGGAGATGGCTCAGTGGAATAAGCACCTCCCTGGCAAGCTCAAGGGCCTGAGTTCAATCTTCAATTCCGCCAAAAAAAAAAACCTATTGTTATAAAAGAAATATGACTGTATTTATGGAAATAGTACTTTTATTGATGAGTCATCTCAAGATCCAAGTCTGAATTTTCTCTGTCAGAGAAAAGAAAAGAAGCTGTTACCACTCTTTTAGCAGAAGGGTTTGTCTGTTTCAATTCAATTCACTTCAGCCTCATTCAGAAAAGTATGTACCAACATCTACAAGGAAATATTTTCATGCAGAAACATATCTGCTCCCTTTAAGGTATACTAGATGGCAATTGTAAGCACGAAGATCATAAACAGTTATGACCCCATGAGACCCCCACTCTTATGGGTTTCAGAGAGAAAGAAATATTGCCAATATTTACAATACAAAGTATGGCAAGTAGGGAAGATAGAGCAAGCAATCATTATCCCAGAAAAAAAAAATCACTGCAGAGAGAAATTTTTCAAAATGGCTGAGGACCACATGGCTGACACAGACAGAGGATCTACACACTGCGGTACAGGATTTCAGGGTAAATCCTGAGGGCATTTGACTGACTGTCAGATACAAAAGTTATATTTCTTGTTATAACAGTCTTGCTTTATCTTGGTCTTAACCATCCAGCAGAAAAGTATAAAAACAAGGCTTAAAAAGTAAAGCCATGTTAGTATGCTGAGCTGTAAAAGGTTCAAATCAACAGCTTCTGACATTGTCAGTCCTACAGATAACCCATGACTATTATGGATTACTGGACTATATTGGATTATTTTGCTGAATTAGCACACTTACAATATTTAAGTGGTAATGGAATACCTATCTCTGACAAAACTAAACAAAAAAGGGATACAAATGAAGACTATTTTGTATCTGTATAAACAAAATAGTTAGGATGGATATACAGCTACTTTTTCTTAATTCAATGAGAAGAAAGATTGGTACTAATAGTGTTTGGACAGCATATCATGTCTGCATCTTGTACTATGAATAACCACTACAAAGAGAACAATACACAATGTATTAATTATTGAAACTGTCCTACTAATTGGTTTTGAAACTGTCTCATTGCTATTAGTTTCTCAATAAAATTAATAAAAATAAAATAAAATAAATTCATCCAAATTTATTGTATCCAATATTAATATAGCCACTCTAGCTGTCTTACACTTACTATTTGTATGGAATATTTTCACCTCCTTTTGTTTCCAAGATGTTTCATATGTCTTTTACATATGGCATATAGTTCGATGTTGAGTTTTTGGTTTATCTCAGTGTCCCTCTGTATTTCATGGAATTATTGGTATGGTTGGGGTTAATCGTAGCAATACCATCTTTCTGTTTGTTTTCTAATTGACTCTTGTATTTATAAATCTTGCTTTATAGGTTTTAAATTGCATTTTTTTTTTTTTTTTTTTTTTTTTTTTAACCGGGGATTGAACTCAGGCCCTTGCGCTTGCCAGGGAAGCGCTTACTTCACTGAGCCATCCCCCGACCTTTAAATTGTATTTTAAATAGTAGCTTTTTAAGGTTAAGAAGAAAATAAAACACAGTTTTGTTTAAAAAAAAAAAAAAAGAAAAACAAAAAACAAAGTGGCTGAGGAGGATGGGTAGAACTCTTACAAGCTGGTGTAAAAAGTCTTCCCAGCAGAGGGTATGAGCTAGATAACAAAATAAAGGCAGGGAATTAGGACATGCATTTGTGGTAGCAATAAGGCTATTTGGGTCAAAAGTGTAGAAGAGAAGGAAGTAGCAGGGTTAGTAGGTTAATACCCCGGATGAAGGATTTGTGGTTCTACAGTTAGCAGACTCCCCTGGGATTCTTGGTACAGGAAATACATGTGGTCAGACAGGAGCTTATATGGATATGTCTAATTCAGGAGAAACTGCAAGGAATGTTACAGTCTAGCAAAATAAGGAGCCTCCAGTATAATTTAAGAAATATAGAACAGACCTCTACATTCAAAAATATTTCTCTATCTTAGTTTTCTGTAAATACTACATGTCAAAGAACTAGGCTAAAAGGCTGAGTCCCAATTGATCATTTTAAATCCAGACAGCCTTTAATCAATGGAGTAATTCCTGTGCTCTATTTGTCTAGAATTAACTCTAGTTTGGAGGGTCATGGGACACCTTCCCAGAAATCAGGAGCTATGCTCCTTCTTATTTTTAATAAAAATTCCTAACTTCAAAAAAAATCCTCTGGTTCACTGTCACAATGCTTGAAAAACTATCAATAGACACTTATTTCCTTGTCTTTAAAGTTTGATTTTGAAAGGGCTTGATTAAAATGAATAAAGACAACATGTAATTATTGAGTCCTTGCTCCTTCCCAGGTGCTGGCTTGGGTCATGGTGAGCAAAATTTGACTTTTGTCTCGAGCCAAGATTTGGTAAAAAGCAAAAGGAGACAGACTTGGGCCCACCAGTCACACTAATAATGGCAACCTACCTACTTAGAAACAGTCACCTAGCACATTTGCTAAAAACTATCTGGGATTTAAACTCTAAATGAAAGGCATGGGAAAGATATCTTGGCAGATATGAGAGACAGAAAGAAAACAAGAGCGATGGTTTTGCAATTTTGTCTAAAATTTTAAAATATTTTGCATGGGAAAGACGAGATCTCAAAAGTCTCAATGGTTTCCCAAGGGCTGGCAGCTGTCTGGTAACACATGTGGACAACTGACTTATCTTGAAAGCAAATTAGGCATATCAAGAACAAGATGTCCCCAAAAGGACCCAAGAAGATGACATCCCAGAACCAAAGATGCTCAGATACTTGGTCACAGATAGGTGGGCTTCTGGATGATTTCCTGAATAGGCATGGACTGATTTGGGACAGAGGGTCTCCATGCACAAAGTCTATTCTTAATGATAAAACAGTACATTAACAATGAATCTTAGTGACAGATCATTCACAATATACTGGCTGTCCTAGAGCACTTCTTGGTGCATGTAGGTAGTGACAAACAGAATGAAAGGGGCAAAGCGTAACTAACAATAAGCTGAACCAGATAGGTATGAAGGCACGCTTTAGTTTGAGGCTACAGTTGGTCCTCATTACCTCTGGCATTAAAATGTATTCTAATTCTCAGCAAAGTCTGGTTCAGAAAGAGCCAGACCTCCCATTTCCCCACCTATGCCCTAGGACAGTCTTCTGGGGTAGACTGGTAACAGCTGATTAACCCTGCAGGTTTGCCTCTCTATACATGAATGATCCTTAAGTCGAAGAGGAGGCTGACCCCTCAAAGCATTTAGCAAAGCCTAGAGACATTTTTAAAAAAATATTTTATTTATTTATTTATTTATTTATTTATTTACTACAGGGTCTTACTATGCAACTCAGGCTTCTAGTGATCCTCCTGTTTCAGCCTCCCCTGGGCTGGGATTGCAGGTGTGCACCACCACACCTGGTTTTGGGGGCCAGCACTGGTGCCCAGGGTTCTGGGACCAGCACAGCGTGTGGTACAGGGGACTGAACCTGGGTCTTTGCACTTGCCAGGCAGGCGCTTAGACCACTGAGCTATCTCCCCAGCCCCTGACATCATCTGATGACATTTTTACAGGTAGAATTCTAAATAGTGGTGTGTTTGATTAAAAGGGGGTTATTGATGCTATTTTAAAATTAAAATTTTCAAATTAATTTTATTTGAATAGAAGAAAAATTAAAGGTCACCTGAAAGTCAGGTGACAACATTTCTACTGTTCTTTACATCTCTAGGTTTTCTTTCCAATACTTCCCAAGCACCCTTGTTTGCTTCCTGCACCTGTTATTGCCTTGTCAGTCCTTTGAACCTTTAAGGGACAATAATGTCATCTTTGTTTCTTTTACACTGAAGAACTGTTGACCAGAATTCTACATTTTTCCTTGAATAATTAATTCCTCTTCAGAGTTCATTTGCCTCTTGCTCACAGCTTTTCTTCTCTTTCTCACAGCTTCTGATTATTAATTATCTGGTGAAGTCACAAAACTTGGCAACATTTCTGATCATTAACCATCTTTGAAGAGAGGCACCCATTTACCTAAGCACTTGCGGGGAGGTCGAGCTGGGGCCGGACCAGTAGCTTTAACACAGACATCTCGTCTTCAGCACAATCTCATCAGATATGTTCTTTCTTTTGTCTCAGGGCTACACCTTCCTCCAGTTTTTGGCATCTAAGGGACTCACACAATGACAGCCTCCATAGTTTTTGTGTATTGTGGGAGCCACCTGCTGCTGTGCTCATTGTCCACGGCCCCATGGCCTTGGTTTCTAGCTGTACACAGCCCAAGTGAGTATTTTTCCCTTTCTGGCCCCTGCTGCCTTCTCTGCCACCATGTGCAGTAGGTATATTTTCTGTCCCTTGCCAAATCCATAGTGCTCCGGGAGCTTGCTCTCCAGCTATTTCTAGACCCTGGCAGTTTCTTTTCAATAAATCTGATGCTGTCTAATGATCCACGTTCGTGTGTTTAGTGCTCCAAACTGCTCTTCACTGGGGTCCGGATGAAAAGATAGTTGCCCAGTATTTGTCATTATTTGTGACTTGAAGCTGTGGATTGTTTGTTTCCCTACTTTTCCTTTTTGTTGTTGTTTCTGGTGAGCTGCACAGGACAGGAATAATACAAAAAACACACGGACTTCGCCATTTTTAACTGGAAGCCCTGCTTTTACCTCTGAATGCTATGCCTGAATTTATAACCCACGATGAAGCCCCATTTCTCAGGAGCTGTGTGGTTTAAATAATATATGGTCATGCTGCATTAGCCTCTGGAGGCTATAAAACCATGGTATCTTCCCACGCCAGGATTTCCTGGATGATATTCTTTAAATTGAAAATATTTTCCAGGGGTATGTAAGCCTGCTGCACCCTTTTAGAAAGTGAAATGAACAGCAAATGCATTTTTATCTTTATATGCGTTAAAACAGCATTAGTACAATGCCTTCCTAACCAGCCAACTGTCTATTTTTCCCATTTTTCCTACCTTGCAAAGGAAATGGGTATGCTTCAAAACAGAAAAATATTTTCTTGGTGGAGTATAGTAGCTAGTTCTAAGAACTACGTCTCAGAAAATACAGTGCATAACAGATGCAACATACTCAACTAGCGTTTTTCTACGAACAGTTCCAACGCATGTTGTATTTTTGGAGGGAACTTGGAGGAGGCTGGATAACTATATAGTGAAAAAACGCTGCAAAATGAGATGAGCTAGGCCTTCATTTAGTTCCTAACACAGGATAGTGAATTTATTGAAGTAAATTTCACAACAATTATCTCTCCTTATTATTTATTATTTATTTTTATTATTTTTTTCTGTATTTAGGACAGGGTCTACAGGATCTACAGGGTCACACTACATAGATCAGACTCA